AGAGTGCAGACTTCACTTACCAGCTAGAACACCGGGCTTGAGCAGAACATCAAATGGAATGTTGCGCTTCTCTTCAAATACTGTTGGCGGTGCGGGCTCCTCAGTGGTCAACGACGTTGGTGGCGGCCTTATGGACGTCGTTGTCCAGGACTGCACTGTTGTCCTTGTGGGTACCTCCTCGATCGCCACATCTTCCTCAGGCCTCCGCTCTATTTCGTGAATATTCACATCGAACTGCAATTTGCGCATAAATATCACTGAAACGCTGAAAAGCACAAAAAAAGGAAAAAAAGAGAAACAAAAAAAATACTTCTGTAGAAATATGGCACAAAACTTGGAAACAGATGTAGCCGATTCTTGCATCCCCCAGCTGCTAATTAAAAACATCTTTTTGCTGCTAATTAAAGATAGCGGCCTATTAGAAACGACTGTGCAATTAGCCCCAGCAAGCCTGTGTGCTAGTGTCCGCAGCGCTGACCACTGTTGCGTAATCGTACCTGGATTGGAGCTCCACCAGTTTATTCTATTAAATTTGTGTTACTCCGCAAAGATGAATGCGCATGTAAGTGATACAAACTCATGCAAAATGGTGAAGCAGAAGACCTAGGAAATAAACGAAAGATTTCGTCTAGAAAGAAAAAACGCATTTTTTATTTTTTAAAAATTGTTCCGGAGATGAGAAATCCCCGTAGCACACTAACCGGTGGATAAAACGAAGTAGTCGTAAGCCTGGTTATATTTGCCGTATAGGTCGGTACATCAGTCACTGGCATACTGCCTGAGCCATTGATTTCATCTAAAAAAAAGCAATTTTTGTTTTAAAAAATTTTTGGAGTATTTTCTGAAATTCAAGAAATAAATTTTCGAAATAATAACCTTCGGAACAATAATTTTTAATTTATTATAGCAGGGCAGTATAAAGCCTCAAACAATAGCAGGCAAACAGTGGTTCACAGAAGAAAGCCTGTAGTCGTTTTACGCTTACACCGTTCTTCCAGCCACGCAATCTTACCATATTTATTGGCAACGGTAGAAGCACAGACTTGGCGGATTTTACTGGAATATAGTTTGAGAAGGAATACGCTATTTGCGGTGAGTGGAAGTGCTACAAGGTGGCTTGCGAAGATCATTTTTTGCTGACAATTCAGTTGATTGAATATGCAATCTTTCGTCTTTCATCCGTGCTGAGCAAAAACAAATCATACGGGGTTGTTACATGTTCGACCCGTTGCCATTTTCACACGGGTCGATGACTTCGCATGATGTTCTATCACCTCCTTGGAAAAGTTAGTCCGCGTATTTATCGCTCCATAGCGAACCACTTTTACCAGTGCATGTTGAGAAGTTCAGTCACTTCGTGGTGATAAATCGTTTGGTTGCTTGAAACTTTTTACAGCTCTCGCCCTCCAACTGCCAATCTTCTGACGTAGATCGGGTCGAAAGAAGTACGATGCTCCTTTTTATTCCCCTTAAAAGTACTGCCCAAAGGGATTTTTTGAAAATTTCTAAGCTTGGACCATTTAATTCAAAATGGGGGTGAATTCGGAAAGACGAATGGAAGCGAAGAAAATTGACCAGATCGTCAATCAGATTAAAAACAAAACAAAGAGCGGATAAAAATGCGCATGAAAAAAAGGGCCGACGAGATTATAAATGAGGCTGATGCCTTTGTCCTCTCATTAATTCTTCGCGGGCCAATCTTGAGGGACAGAGCGATGCCACATATTGACTTAACTTCTCCGGAAAGTGATTTATCATTTTCAAATCATGCACCACACACACACATGCAGGCAGATCTCTGCTCTGCTCATTTCACTTTTACTGCATTAGTGTACAGCTACTGGCGATATAAATATACCCGGCCGGGTCTAATCAAAAAGGGTAAAACATGAAGTTCTCTGTGTTGATACTTCAATGCGTTTCTAATCCCTTAGTTTCGAAACACACAAAACTGTCTGTGTTCATAAGTTTCATCCGTCTCCGATCTCTGAGTGAGGTGCATAAACAGAGCGGTGGCAAGCCCAGCACAGTCAACAAATTTCTCATTGATTTCAGACTCATCAAAACTATCCTGTGTTTTGAAACATAGCTATCCAAAATGATTGCTTTAAGGACCGTTTGCCGAACGGAAGTTGAGGGGTTTTGGCCGCAACAGCTGTGCTGAAGATATTCAGAGGGAGTGCAAAATTGAAACGGATACAGTTGAATAAGCCGAAAATTTTCTCACAGTATATATATATATATATATATATATAT